GCTCACAGGCACACCCACATATCATATTGTTATATATATATATCATATATATATATCCGCTTATATCCTATGCTATATCCCCATGCTATATCCCCATTTATAGATTAATATACACTAATACACAAATACAATATCGGTTATCCCGTGAAACATCCCCAGTCGGATTGGTTAAAACCCCATTTTTGTCAGTCAAATCCCAGATGAGTTGTAACCAAATCGCAGATATTAACAATAACTCAACTAGCTTAACTATTTGTTAACCCCCATAGTTGTAAAGATGACATGCCAACTATGAATTTACTGCCTTAGCTTGGTGCTGAATCATTGAGTTATCGCCCTTATCATCCCCCAAGAGGCACCAAGAAACTTTTAATTTTCCCTTAAACAAATCCCGTCCAAAAAAAAAATATCCTATTCCTATCCCAGGATTATTCATGAAAGTAAAAGCCACTTACTAGCTATTTTTTGTAGTTATAGACAAACTTGGCTAACGAAATGGGGCATCACCTCCCCCAACTTATTGTCCAATTATTATCTTACCCATTTAGTATACACCAATACACATTTATAGTCAATCACTTAATTAGAACCCCGTTTTTTTTACTATCCCATTAGCTATGAAGTATCCCACTGATATCCAATATATATATATATATATCTATCCCAGAACTAATTATCTCATTTTAATCCCATATATTTGTTATACGCTTTTACGATCCCCGATTAGTTTTTAGTGAGACTAGATATTACTATCCCACAATTCTTCCAAACTATTCCATAATATTAGGGCATTATGCCCCCAACTTATTATCCCATTGTACCATGTTAAATCATCATGTCTTAGCCGTCTTAGCCCAACTCATCAGTTCGAAAATAGTCGAAAAGGTGATATTACTCGTAGTGTTCTCCTTACATCATCCTATCATCATTGGATTGGTTTAAGGGAAAATCTACAGGAAACCATGGTTTTTACCATTAAATATGGGGGTTTCCTGTAAATTTTCCAGTGATATCCGTGACTTGGATTTGGGGTACCAGGAGCGCGCCAAGCGCTTCATGGCGTGTTTGGATGCTGCCAAGCAGCGGCAGCTGCGGCTGCTAGCCTCGCTGGAAGCGGAGCAGGAGACAGGTGCCATGGGGATGTCAGGATTGAAACATGGTGATTTTACCATAAAAATCACAAAACATATCAAACCATGGGATATTGGAGACCCTCTGGTAATTTTTCACAAACATTTTTTGATGGTGCTACCAATCTAGTCATGATTGTTGGTTTACTACCAATCTAGTGCTTTCATCGCTATTTTTATGCTAGTTACTCTAGTTATGAACCAACTTTGCAAACTAGGGAGCACCACCACGTGAAGCAGTTAAAACTGATTTTTACGGGAGACATTTTCTGGGATATGTTATAGGGCAATTTGCCTCAGCTGGGCATGGGGAAGACGGGTCAAGCCATTGCTGCCCAAAATTGATCCAAAAAGAGCACCTTTGTTGTGAGGAAAACTTGACTCAGACTCAATGTGTCAACTCCGCTGATGATTTCCTTTGATATAATCTTATATATATATATCATTTGGTGCAGTAATAATCTGTAGTTGGGAACGACTACAGTATCATATGTAATTATTGTTCTGGTTAGCATACACAACATTTAGTCAATCAATGAGTGATTTCATGATTTCATCATGACTCACCAAAGGTCCCAAATAGGCCTGCCCAACAAGAACCTGAACACTTGTTTGGAAAACATAACTGGCTTAACACACGTTTGTTGTTATATGTGGTTATTTTTTTTTGATATAGCAATCTCAAACACATTTACCACACTCAATTTGTCGCGATTTGTAGTGATTCAGCATTTGTCAGCATGGATTCGGCATTCACAATGTAGAATTGGCTGGCGAGGTCGTCGGTGTTTGGGTGGTATTCCAGACATTGCTGCCAATATGTTTTTCATGGGGAAATGACCAACAAAGGCTGGAGGTTAAATCAGGAAAGATGACTTGGAATGGTATTTCAGAAATGTTTGATTGGTGGTTGTTTTGACTGCGGCAGTCTTGGAATGGATTCATCAATTTATCATCCTTTGGCGGCAATTCCCTTGATGTGTTCGCTGACCCAAAACGATCAGCTGATAGACACGGCTGTTTCAGGTGCGCATAAAAACCCTGGAAGAATCAAACAAACAAAAGATATCCTGTAATCAAACACGATTTGTTGAAACATCCCCAGCCATAGTTCGATGATTTTCCTATTTCAAGCCTCCGGGGATTTCCATGCCTGCCAGCTGCCCCTGTGCTTCTGGGCAAGACGTCCTCACCAGTCGCGGAGCCTGATGCTAAGTGCCTTGGCGGGTCAACAGATCTCTAGTTTTTTGAGCAAAAAGTAGATCACCATCATTGTTGGTCCAAATTCGACATCATCTTTCATCAACAAAGCTGACAAGGCTTCACAAAAGTCAAGAATTTCAAAACCATCCAACTTAGATGTTTCATGACGTTTCTCCAAATTTCCGACAAAAAAACCATGAAAATCACGAAGAACTCGGATGTCTCACCGCATTTTGACCCAACGCCACGGCGTGGCGCCAAGGCCCAAGGCCCGCGAGGCCCGCGAGGCCCGCAGCCATCGTCTCAGCGCCTGGTCCGCTGAGCTGCAGCTGCCGCCGCCGGCGCTGCCAGTGCCGACGCCTGGGAGCTGCTCCAGTCGCTCCACCGAGGAAGGCGACCTGGGCTGAACGGCGGCATCGCTTCGCCTGCTGAACTTGGGGAGATCACATGGGAAATTTCAAGGGAAAACCAAGTTATGGGGAGATAATGAATATTGGACTATTCACCAACTATTTAAGTTGGGAAATATCATGGAATATCATATGGATATTCCATGATATAATATGATTAATCATGGCACATAGTTTGATAAAGCCAATGGTAGACCATGAACAATATGACCATAAATGGGTGGTATAAACCATTGGTGAATGGTAGCTTTATTATTGGGTCAACCATTGGATATGTTTGACTAGCTATAGGAAAGAAATCATTCATGGATGGGGATGTAATATCGGATAGAATCATTCGTAAAAAGGTAGGTTTGTGGAGTTATACTTTCTATATATATAATATGTATATATATATATGTATATATATGTATATATATATGTATATATATATGTATATATATATATATATGTATATTATATGTGTATATATATGTATATGTATATGTATATGTGTATATATATACATGTATATATACATATGTATAAATATGTATATATATATATAAATACATGTGCCATGGTGAAACGGTCAAAACAAGGTTTAGTTTCCCATATTGGGGGATGGTCATAGCACCATGAAAAATAAGCATGATATACCCATTGTGTGTGGATTCCTATTGTGGGATGGACGACTACACCCCATCGTTGGGGAAACCTTTGGGAAGCAATTTTTGTGGAACTTGGAGATTTTGACGAACACCCAGAGGAGTGGGAATGTACCAAAAAAAAGAAGGGATATTATGATATGGCCATATATGGCCATGACATAGGAACAATGATGCTTTGATCCATTGGAATTGGGGGTTGAACTTATTTTCAAACCCATTAGAACTCACAAAATTTGTTAATTTTGAAGGTTGCGTCCGACAGCTTGATCCACCGGGGGGTAGTCGGTGTGGTTGGGCAACCAGCTGGCACTGAGTTCCTCAAGGCAGGAAGCATTCCAACTTAGCTGGGTGGTCAAAGCAAAGAAGTGTTTCACTTTTTCAGGAAAACCATTTTTTTTCATCATTTTGGATGAGACCAGCCAAATCTATGGATTTTGGATGATTTTGGTCAATTTTCTGCACCGTGTCAAGGTTCCGCAGAACAGGACCTGCAGACATCTGGCGGCTCAGCGGAGGCTTCGCAAGGCACCCAGGCGCCAGGGGCTATGAAAATTGGGCATTTCCCCGAAGAAAATGGCAATTTTAACAGGGGACATCATGGCCATAGGATTTTTTTGGGGTACCCTGTTTTTGTTGCGACGCTTCGAACATTTTTTGAATGGCACTATTGGGAACTATTGGGTCCACCCGAGGTGTCATCTAATCAACTGAGTAAGAACGGTTGCATAAATTAGGTACGGTATACCGCAATCATTCTATGTGTTTGTTCATGTAATATCGTATCATGTATATCTATTGTATACACATATATATATATATATCTAATACATAAATAATATAATACACACATATATATATAGTAATATAGAGTCTTTACCGAACAATCTGAATCTAAATAGATATCCCATTGGCAGCACAGGAGCTTGAGCTCCTGGTCCGCGAGACCCGGGCGAATTCTGCGCAGTCGGCGCCGACGGCGGAGCCGGATCCTTTCGCCGCGGAGGCGACAACCGGGTTGGGGGTAACAGTTGGGGTACGGAAATTGAATGAACAACAACTATTATGACAACTAAAGTTCTATTGTTCACAATTAGTACTATATATATTGTTGTTATCGTTATTACGTGTTTTTTTTGTTATGATTATATGATGATATGAGACCCATTAGAAGATATACAACAACATTTGTATATTATAGGATGAAGAAAGAATAATCATTAGATCTTAATACCCCAATCAATAGGATTTGTTCATGAATATCTCAAATCTCAACCTCCTGGGGAAAATTGACATGGGATTTCAATACCTAGGTCCATCAAAAAAAATACATATATTTTTTTCCACAAATATGTTCACACCAATAAAACACATTTTTTTCCGTAACGGAAAGCATGTGGATATGATAAGCCCAATAGGCTCCTTCACTATCAGCCCAACAGCCCAGTTAAAATTACGGAACATGATGAGAAACGTATAGTGAGAAACCGGGATGCTTATTGCCAACACGACTGCTATCAAACGATCGCTTTCCATGAGTTCGGGACTTGCATAGTCGAGTGTTCCATTGTCTACGCCAGTTTCGCCAACCAACTGTTGGGGCATTTTAAAGTCTTGGACCCTTGCAAGTGGTTTTTTATCGCGATGGACATTGAACTATTTATTTCGCACGTGTTTTTCCACTGTTTTGTAGATTTGTTTGAGCAAGAATCATGGAACCCATTTGTAAAATCAGGAACCATAAACATCGAGGATTAATCCTGAAAGTTGGATTGCAGCCATGACTGTAGACAGTGTGGGTACACCATCAGCTGTTGCAAACTCTCCTTGGATGCAGCGAGTAGGGGGTAGCCTCCCAAATAGTGAATCCCACTTAGTAAACGGGTGGGGTGCATCGCATACCCCCAGTTATACAATGTTAAAAAAATATATACATACACACACACATAAATATATATATATATGTATATATATATATACATATGGTCACCCCCCTCCAGGACCTACATTTTCAATTCTCTACTGTATACATATATACATATATACATACACATATATATATACATATATATGGTCACCCCCCTCCAGGACCTACATTTTCAATTCTCTACTGTATACATATATACATACTCGTATATACATACACACATATATATATATATACATATGGTCACCCCCCTCCAGGACCTACATTTTCAATTCTCTACTGTATACATATATACATATATACATACACATATATATATATGTACGATGGACCTTTATGTACTATTTGAACGTTTGCATGTCGAAAGGATTTTATTGAAATTATACCTCTTTCTGGAGAATCCCTACTAGTTAATCTATATACCAAAAAGAAAGAAATGGAATTCAAAAAATTCAAAAAAAAAAAAAAAAATGAATACATATTTTTTTTGAATTTTTTGATTTTTTTTTTTTTGAATTCCATTTCTTTCTTTTTGGGACTTTCATTTTTTTTTTGAATTTTTTGAATTTTTTGAATTCAAAAAATTCAAAAAAAAAAAAAAAGTGAATACATAATTTTTCAAATTCAAAAAAAAAATGAATACATATTTTTTTTTGAATTTTTTGAATTTTTTGAATTCAAAAAATTCAAAAAAAAAATGAAAGTCCCAAAAAGAAAGAAATGGAATTCAAAAAATTCAAAAAAAAATGAATACATATTTTTTTTGATTTTTTTGAATTTTTTGAATTCCATTTCTTTCTTTTTGGGACTTTCATTTTTTTTTTGAATTTTTTGAATTTTTTGAATTCAAAAAATTCAAAAAATTCAAAAAATTGAATTTTTTGAATTCAAAAAATTCAAAAAATTCAAAAAATTCAAACAAAATTTGAATTCAAAAAATTCAAAAAATTCAAAAAAAAAATGAAAGTCGCAAAAAGAAAGAAATGGAATTCAAAAAATTCAAAAAATTCAAAAAAAAATTGAATACATAATTTTTTTTGAATTTTTTGAATTTTTTGAATTCCATTTCTTTCTTTTTGGGACTTTCATTTTTTTTTTGAATTTTTTGAATTTTTTGAATTCAAATTTTTTGAATTTTTTGAATTCAAAAAATTCAAAAAATTCAAAAAAAAAGTGAATACATATTTTTTTTTGAATTTTTTGATTTTTTTGAATTCAAAAAATTCAAAAAATTCAAAAAATTCAAAAAAAAAATGAAAGTCCCAAAAAGAAAGAAATGGAATTCAAAAAATTCAAAAATTTCAAAAAAAAAATGAATACATAATTTTTTTTGATTTTTTTGAATTTTTTGAATTTTTTGAATTCCATTTCTTTCTTTTTGGGACTTTCATTTTTTTTTGAATTTTTTGATTTTTTTGATTTTTTTGAAATTCAAAAAATTCAAAATATTCAAAATATTTTTGTATTGGCTAAATTTTTTGAATATTTTGAATATTTTGAATATTTTGAAATTCAAAAAATTCAAAATATTCAAAATATTTAAAAAATAATGAAATCACCAAAAAAGAGGTTCAGAGAGACTTTTGGGAGAAGTTCATTATATTTTGAATATTTTGATTTTTTTCAATATTTTGAAATTCAAAAAATTCAAAAAATTCAAAATATTCGAAATGTTTTTGTATTGGCTAATTTTTTTGAATATTTTGAATTTTTTGAAATTCAAAAAAAATCAAAATATTCAAAAAAATAATGAAATCCCCAAAAAAGAGGTTCAGAGAGACTTTTGGGAGAAGTTCATTATATTTTGAATATTTTGATTTTTTTGAAATTCAAAAAAGAACACAATTTTCAAAATATTTTCGTTTTTGTTTTTTTTTTTGAATATTTTGTTTGTTTTTTCGAAATTCAAAAAAACAAAAAAACATGAATGCATATTTTTTTGATTTTTTTGAATTTTCTGAATTTAAAAACTTATAAAAAAATTGAAAACATGAATACCCCAAAAGTGAGAAGCTGGGCTCCCAATAGTAATCTATACAGTATATGGAAAAAAACTCAATACTAAACTATTTTTTAAAAAAAATCCGAATACTAAACTATGTATTTGAAAAAAAACTACTGCTAAACTAAGTCTGGCTCTCTTTCTGGGAATTTCATGTTGTTATTGTTTTTTTTTGAATTTTCTGAATTCATTTTTTTTTAACAAATAGGCGTTTCTTTTTAATCCATCATTTTTTCACTTTTTATCTTTTATGTTATTTTTCGGATCCTTACATTATTAATATTTTGTCGTAACACCATCAATTCTTAGATATATATTTCTTTTTTTCCTTAGTTTCTATAATATTTTTTTAATTCCATGCCTTCATCTTTTCAAATTCAAAAAAATCAAAAAATGAAAAAAAAACATGAATACCCCAAAAGTGAGAAGCTTAGCTCCCAATAGTAATCTATATATGCAAAAAACAACTCAATACTAAACTATGCAACTATGCATTAAAAAAAACAATACTCAACTATGTATTCATTTTAAAAAAACTACTGCTAAACTAAGTCTGGCTCTCTTTCTGGGAATTTCATATTTTTTGTTTTTTTTTTTGAATTCAAAAATTCAACAAATTAAAACAAAAAAATGCATACCCCAAAACGAGAAGCTGAGCTCCCAATAGTAATCTATATATGCAAAAAATCTCAATACTAAAAGATGTATTCAAAGCATACTATATAAACTATGTTTTAAAAAACATGCTAAACCATGTGTGTGTGGTTCCCTTTCTGAGAATCTTATTATATACTTTGTTGACCCCAAAAATCATCAATACTAAACTATATATCCACCCAAAAAAGCCACCAATATTAAACTATGTAGCAAAACAAGGAAACAAACTGCAGACAATGAAAGTCCTGTGTCCCAAAAGCACCCAAAAAGAACAACAGTAACGAGGAGAGAAGGGAAGAAGGCACTGGGAAAGACTAGAGGAACAAGTAATGAAAGAAAGGGAAGAGGAGAAAGGCTCTCTTCTCCGTCCCAAAATGCTGGAGACCTAGGAAGAAGCACGGTAGTGGAGAGAGGATAAGGAGACCGCTTGGAGGGAAACATGTAGTAGAGAGAGGGTAAGGGAATGTAACGGATAATAGATTTTGTCCCAAAGCACACAGAGACAAGCAAGGAGACTTATACGAAGGAAGACAAGTAGGGAGAAGCATTCTGCCCAAAGCAGCCTGAGAGAAGAATAGCAATGGGGAGCGAATGAAGGATACAACTTGGAGAGAACAAGGGAGACAAGTATACAACTTGGAGAGAACAAGGAAGACACGTACGGAAACAGACGGCAGACGAGAAGAATCAGGGGTCCCAACAAGCACCTAGAAAGAAGAAGAGCAAGAGAGAGAGAGAGAGAGAGAGAGAGAACAAAGAAAGAAAGAAAGAAAAGAAAGAAAGAAAGAAAGAAAGAAAGAAAGAAGGGCACGAAATGGAGACAACAAGGACGACAAGTACGGAAACAGACAATTGGACAAGGAGCATCCGATGAGCATCCTGTGCGCCGGAAGCACCCAGGGAGAACAACAGCAACGAAGAAAGAAGAGTCAAAACAAGTTGAGAACAAGCAGAGAGACGGGCGCAGAAACAGATGGGACACAACGAGAGTCCTTTCCCCAAAGCAACCAAAACAAAGAACACTGAGCAATGGATCAACAAGGGAGACAAGCACAGAAACAGGTGGAAAACAAGGAGAACTTTGTGTCCCAAACGTACCCAGAGAAAAGAATAGCAATAGATAGAGAAGTACGGAAACAAGTTTGAGACAACAAGGGGAACGAACACGGAAACAAATGGGAGACGAAGAGACGAAGAGTATCCTGTGCCCAGAAGCATCCAGGAAGAAGAACAGCAACAGGGATGGACAAAAGGAATGGAGAGAGGAGGACTGCAACACAAATGAAGGACTCGGGAATGTTTATTGCCCCAAAGCACCTAGAGGTCCTAAAGCCTAGACACACGTGGGAGACAAGGAGAATCTTGGGTCCCAAAAGCACCTAAAGAGAACAACGGTAGTGAGGAGAGAAGTGAAGAAGGC